AGACAATTATGTCACAAAAAAGACTGCAAAATACCTACTACGAAAAAGATATGAATTTTTGAAACCTCGCTGGCAGAAATCATTAAAAATACACATAAAAAATATGACTGCAAAACTAAGAAAAATTGCGGAACATACCTGGGTAATTCCGGTACCCCCCGGTGCGAGGAATCTAAAAAAAATGTTGACGTCACTAGTGGGATCGCCCTGTATGGTCATAATTTACCGTCTACATTTTTTTAAGTGATGATGTGTTTTTAAAAATATATTCACCAGTTATTGACTTAAATTCTGGTTTTAACACCAATGCAAGGATAGGGGTTCTAAGTATGTCTTTTTATATGTCCTCAACTTTGTACCTGTCTATAAGCTTTACATTATTTACGCAGGTTCGATAAGTGCATCCGTTTGCTGATAGACTGAACAATAAATAGCAGCAAAGATAATAATAAAATGTTGTAAATCCTTCTATTCTGAAATTCTTGCGGTTCTTCAATATGTGAGCGAGTTTTATGCTTACCGCAAGTAATGGATGGGACTCAGTAGTTTCCATTACATTATTTTTTACCACAAGAACTTGTTTGTCATATAGAATGAAAAATAATGTATCAAAGACTGTTCTTGTTTTCAAATGCGTTTTTCATTTCTTAATATCTGAAAAAGCCTAAATTTATCTCCTAGTTGTAATTTGAAAATCATTAAGCAAAATCAGCTATGTTATGATGTTGTATAATGTCGTGTCGCAGGCACTAATTCGCACGGTACATTGATAAATAGTCAATCGAATTACAAGACCCTCGCTCTACTACCGTCTCCTCATAATATTACAACATAGACCAAGAGCTCGTACCTATACTTAGGTAATATTACTGTTATATTTTTTAATGCAAATTTTCCTTCCTTGCAACTTAGGGGCCGTCCATTAATCACGTGTTTTTTTTTTGATACATGGTGAGTTTGAAGACTAAACCCTCCCCCCGACCACGTTTATTTATCACGTATATTTTTTAGTATGTAATTACAAAGAATCTTATTTTATTTATATTTATAAGTACAGGTATAAGTTACATCTAATTTTATTATAGAAAATGAAAGACTACAATAATAACGATGAGAGGTAGACAGAAAAGTTGCAGGTTGTTTTTGTCTGACATAAAAATAATTAATGAAATGTACAGTATCCTCGGACCTTGTGTACTACCCCCCCCCCCCCCCCCCCCCTCCTTTCGAGCCTCACGTGATTAATGGACATCCCCTAATGTCATATAACAATTATCGAAAGGTGTATAAGTTCATAACAGACGTCTCTAAGATACAGCTCAACCCTTCTGTTAATTTGTAAATCTAAGACGTCTGTTAAGCTAGCATGGCAAAGTGAGCAGAATCGTTTAAAATAAAGTGCATCAATTAGTGCTTATTTAGTGCCAAAACCGGAAATTTAATGCTCTCATAGTTTAGCGAAAAATTTGAACACTGCCAGCTTTTAATTAAGCTAGCAGTGTATTCCCTGAAACGCCTATATTAACGCGGTATAGAACTAAAGCAATGCATAGGGAATTTAGTGCTTAATTAGTGCTGGCAGTCTCTGATGAAAATTTTGGAAAATAAAAAATATTTTATTTTTTATCAATAAAAACTGCTAGTTTGACAGTCTGAGCAAGTGACAGGGTTGAATACATCACTCTGGATCGAAGATCTATGATAGTCAACGGTTAATAATTTAGTGCTCAATGGGTGCTGCCAGTATGTGATAAAAAATTAGGAAATTTTATTTTTTTTAATTTTTTATCAATATAAACTGCTAGTATGACAGTCTGAGCAAGTGACAGGGTTGAATACATCACTCTGGATCGAAGATCTATGATAATCAACGGTTAATAATTTAGTGCTCAATGAGTGCTGCCAGTATGTGATAAAAAATTAGGTTTTTTTTTTAAATTTTTTTATCAATATAAACTGCTAGTATGACAGTCTGAGCAAGTGACAGGGTTGAATACATCACTCTGGATCGAATATGTATGATAATCAACGGTTAATAATTTAATGCTCAATGAGTGCTGGCAGTATGTGATAAAAAAAAATTAGAAAAAAACAAAATATTTTATTTTTTAGCAAATGAAACTGCTAGTATGGCAGTCTGAGCAAGTCACCGGGTTGAATACATCACTCTGGATCGAAGATCTATGATAATCAACGGTTAATAATTTAGTGCTCAATGAGTGCTGCCAGTATGTGATAAAAAATAACGTAATTTAAATTTTTTATCAATATAAACTGCTAGTATGACAGTCTGAGCAAGTGACAGGGTTGAATACATCACTCTGGATCGAAGATTTACGATAATCAACGGTTAATAATTTAGTGCTCAATGAGTGCTGCTAGTATGTAATGAAACATTTGGATTTTTTTATTTTTTATTAATAAAAACTGCTAGTTTGACAGTCTGAGCAAGTGACAGGGTTGAATACATCACTCTGGATCGAAGATCTATGATAATCAACGGTTAATAATTTAGTGCTCAATGAGTGCTGCCAGTATGTGATAAAAAATTAGGATTTTTTTTTTAATTTTTTATCAATATAAACTGCTAGTATGACAGTCTGAGTAAGTGACCGGGTTGAATACATCACTCTGGATCGAAGATCTATGATAATCAACGGTTAATAATTTAGTGCTCAATGAGTGCTGCCAGTATGTGATAAAAAATTAGGAAATTTTATTTTTTTTAATTTTTTTTCAATATAAACTGCTAGTATGACTGTCTGAGCAAGTGACAGGGTTGAATACATCACTCTGGATCGAAGATCTATGATAATCAACGGTTAATAATTTAGTGCTCAATGAGTGCTGCCAGTATGTGATAAAAAATTAGGATTTTTTTTTTAATTTTTTATCAATATAAACTGCTAGTATGACAGTCTGAGCAAGTGACAGGGTTGAATACATCACTCTGGATCGAATATGTATGATAATCAACGGTTAATAATTTAATGCTCAATGAGTGCTGGCAGTATGTGATAAAAAAAATTAGAAAAAAACAAAATATTTTATTTTTAGCAAATGAAACTGCTAGTATGGCAGTCTGAGCAAGTCACCAGGTTGAATACATCACTCTGGATCGAAGATCTATGATAATCAACGGTTAATAATTTAGTGCTCAATGAGTGCTGCTAGTATGTGATAAAACATTTGGATTTTTTTATTAATAAAAACTGCTAGTTTGACAGTCTGAGCAAGTGACAGGGTTGAATACATCACTCTGGATCGAAGATCTATATAATCAACGGTTAATAATTTAGTGCTCAATGAGTGCTCTGTATAGAGTGATGTATTCAACCCTGTCACTTGCTCAGACTGTCATACTAGCAGTTTATATTGATAAAAAATTAAAATTTCGTTATTTTTTATCACATACTGGCAGCACTCATTAAGAACTAAATTATTAACCGTTGACTATCATAAATCTTCGATCAAGAGTGATGTATTCAACCCGATCACTTGCTCAGACTGTCAAACTAACAGTTTTTATTAATAAAAAATAAAAAAAATCCAAATGTTATATCACATACTGGCAGCACTCATTGAGCACTAAATTATTAACCGTTGACTATCATAAATCTTCGATCCAGAGTGATGTATTCAACCCGGTCACTTGCTCAGACTGTCAAACTAGCAGTTTTTATTGATAAAAAATAAAATATTTTTTATTTTCCAAAATTTTCATCAGATACTGCCAGCACTAATTAAGCACTGAATTCCCTATGCATTGCTTTAGTTCTATACCGCGTTAATATAGGCGTTTCAGGGAATACACTGCTAGCTTAATTAAAAGCTGGCAGTTTTCTAATTTTTCGCTAAACTATGAGAGCATTAAATTTCCGGTTTTGGCACTAAATTAGCACTAAATAAGCACTAATTGATGCACTTTATTTTAAACGATTCTGCTCACTTTGCCATGCTAGCTTAACAGACGTAAATCTAAGGTCTAGAGAAAGTACAGAATCAATAAACAAAGTAGGTTGCTTAAGCAGTGTGGAGGTCGCAGCGTGCGTGTCGATGATCGATGGTATTGCGTGCGTTTTGAGTGCGTGGTAAGGTCGCGAGCGGACCGGGGCTTCGTTGCGGCCTACCAAGCTCACAGAGCGCGTGACATGGCTTTGCTTTGTTCCTGGCTCCCGCCGTTGGCACCTCTAACTCCGCCTCGGAGCGTTTCGCGCCGCCGCGCCTAACTCCCTGCGCGCATGCTCCGCTGTATCCTCATGCGTCCCCACTACACTACGTCACGATTTAAAATGATACGCTTTACCAAGTAGCGGACATTCAGCTAGCCGTCACAGTCGGGATATTTGCCGATGCGACCGGTGTCGTAGTCGTCGGTGCGCCCCTACAGTACGTGTCGTTAGTCCAGTCCCAGTTGGTCGAGTACTCGGAAGGGAGCGCGCGGCAGTCGGTATCGATCTGAGCGTTTCGTGTGCCCGCTCGAGCACAACGTTCTCTCGGGATATTCGTCCAGTGCTCGCCGTCGGCGCCGGCCTTGCTTCCCTGTTTACGCGGCGTGTATACTGATTTCATCCGCGCGATGTCCAGCGAGGCTGATTGTTAACGCTACCTACGCAGCTGTCAGTGCACCTGAGAGGCGATATCGGCTCGTTGCCGGATTCATTTGATCGATCTCGAGCAGAGAAAATTTAGGTGAGTCCCGCATTGTATGAACTCTCGCAACTTTCAAATATATAAATACTTTTTTAATAAACACGTGTCAAAAGCGATGTAGCGAATGTATATATGTTTTTTCATCCTAATTTATGGACATATTACGCTTGCTGTAAACGGTTCGGATTTACAAGATAATTAGGTACGTCTTTTTGTATTTAATTTAATCATTTTCTACGCTTCGTATGTGTGGTCAGTACATGTGTTCAATATTTCTATTGAGTGTTAGCTAGCCATCTGGTTTATATTTCTAAAGTTAGATAGTAAAATTGTAAACTATGGGGATTCATCGATGTAGTGTTTGCCGAGCGGTCGATTTTTACCGTTTTATATGTAACTAGTTAATATAAAATTATGATATTTCTCGGTCTTGAACAATTCAGTGGGTACGATAATATCCAAAAGCACAAAATGAGTTGAAGTGTTCGTGGAAATGGAAGCCCTTCGCACGTGATTTATTTCTTTTTCTTACTGCGCATGTCTTGTGGTTTGGCTTATTTTGTCGTGTAGCTGTACAAAGGAATTCTCAAATATTAGTAACTGTTGATTCTGCCAGCATTGATACGGAAAATTGGGGCTGTAACGAATGCGGCGTCGTTACATAACACTGATAAACGTATGATTCAACGTGTACCGTCGCGTCGTTAGTACAATAAAAATACATTTTGTATTTGTACATTAAATTCTTAATAAAAGTTTATTACTTGCGTCGACTGACTTAGGCGTCGTAGATATGGGTGTGGGGGAAAGGAAATTTCTCTCCATTAACAGATTTTAACGCCAGAACCTACATATAAAGGATCCATATCTTTCGTTCACTAGAATCACAAGAGTATGAATGCGACATGCGATTTAGCAAATATTATAAAGGGCGCCTACAACTTTTTATTAGTACAGCACTCTTAAATAGGCCATTTTTGTGACTGGCAGGCAACTAAAAAGAATTCGAAGCGTCAATTAACATGGGAAACTAAACGTACTTTTACCCCTTTTAAATCTTTCAACTTTTTATCAAAAGAGTAAAACCTACAGTTAACGAAACAAGGGGCTTATGAAATATCTCGAATGACTCCTTAGTGGTAGGTACTGGAAATATGTTGTTAATAAGGGGTTTTTCTCTTATAAAGCTGTTTAATAAATAAATAATAAAAAAATCACTTAACTGAAAAAAATATAATGAAGTCACATACAATTAAAAATGCAATACTTACAAATAAGCACGAACGTAACCACCTCAGATTCATAGTTAAATGCTATAAACAATTATGTTACAAATTGATCAATAGGTTAAACAGGGACTAATGAAACCGCTATCGATATCGCGTATATGCAGGCGAGTATAATAAGTAGATAATTAATATATTTTCGCGTTTGACGGCTAATAAAGAAAGTTTTACACTCGTCGTTTCCTCTAATATTTTCTAACTCGACAACACTTTCGTGGTAACTCAAATAAATTGTTCAGGAATCGTGCTAATGGAGCGCCTCAATATTTAACACTTAAAGCTGGGTTGTCCTTATCTTATTATAAATCTGTTGCGTGCAAGGCTGCCCGAATGTGTACTTCTCTACCTCTACGCATGTGTGCTGCATTGTTGCAGCAATTTATGTCTTTTTTCTTCTTGAAACTCGTGTAAATTTATACGCTACCTAATATGTAAATTTACGGCCATTTTCAGAGACGTCAATTAACTAACGTTTAACTTTAAATTAAATTGGCTCTGTCACCTTCTTTGCTTTTTTTTGAGTTTGTATGTTGGTCGCGGATGACCTTTACAGGGTCACCGGGTTTGGGGACGGCGAGATCCTAAGAGGACCTCAAGCCGAGAATTGGAGAGTGCCTCTAGTGGTATTTCAGGCGTATGGCATCTGCCCCCGGGGGAATCTTCTCTCCGTCTGGAGCTTTTAGTTTAGACCACTCGAGCCTGAGGGGGTCGGCTCAACTAGAGGACGTCTCTGAGACTCTGACCTCGGATCTAGTTAGCCGGGGCGAGGAAAAACGCCTACCTGTACCTGGTATAGCGTGTCGTTTGTAAACCTGGTATTCGCACCCTTATCCTACGGGTGTGGTGTCAGCCTAATGCTAAGCTAGTGTGCAAGTTTGCTAGCTTTGTGGTGTGGTGTTTGTGGCCCGTGTGAGAGGAGTCGGAGGCGCATTGGCGCGGGTGATTTCTTCGTCGGGGTTCTCTAAGACGTTCCTAACTCGAACCTGTTTGTTCATAATAAGATTGTTCGCGAAGCGAAATTTTTTAAGGCGGCTAGCGAGGGCGCGTTCGTTAAGTTTCCCGAGCGTTTTGAGGAGATTTATGGAGCGTTAGCTAGAGAGTAAGGCGCCGTCCTTACCGGGTTTCCGGAACCCGATAACGACGGCCTTTTTCCGCTCTGCGGGAAATGTCGCGTTTGTCATAGGCGCGTTAAAGATCGCGGTAATAAGGCAAAGGAGTTGGGCTGGTAAGATCTTAAGGACCTTACTAGAGATTCCGATTGACCCAGGGGCGCACCGTGGGTGCAGTTTACGGATTAACGAGTGCACCTCATCTACAGTGATCGTTTCGAGGGTTGCGGTGGGCGGTACGGAGCACTGCGCTTCCAGGCTGTCGGCCAGGCATTTGGCCTTTTCGTCGTCGTTAAACGCGATCGATCGGTCATGTTTGGTCAAGGGAGGCATAGAGGATTCGACCTCTGACTTGAAGGATCTCGTCAGCTTCCAATAAGCTTGGTGTGATGGTGAAATTTCTTCAAGTAGTTCATCCCATTTAGACTCCCGCATTTCCTTCATGCGCGCTTTAACAGCACGCTGCAAGGTACGCAATCGGGAGCGGTTGTTGTCCGTGGGGCAGATGTCGAATGCCCTAGTGGAAGCATTCTTTGCTCTTAACAGCTCTCTAGCATCGTCTGGTAGGTTGCAGCGATAGTTTGGCATCGCTGGAACCTATCGGGGCGCCTCGCTTATTGCGGAAGTGAGATAGCTCGAGAGGGCTCCTACGTAGAGAGGGTGTCGTGAGGGGAGGTTATGTGGTCGTGGCTGGAGTTGAGTGGCAAGCTGGCTGAGGGTTAGAGTAGTTTCTCGATCCTCCTCCAGTTCGCAACTGACCTTGAGACTTTCTTTGCGATAGCAATAAAAGAACTTAGTGTGAGTTGCACTACAGAGCTAGTTAAAGTTAAATTTCCACTATAACATTAACTGGCTTCACTTGGACAGTTGATTGTCACCAGCTGTCAAATTATGACCTCATTTTGACTATCGTTAAATGGTGCATCCCATTTTTACGTAACCGATACCTTAACTGAACAGTTCAACTCATGCTTAATGTAGCAAATTAATATGTCCTTTCTGGCTTTTACACGTTTTTATATATAAATTTAAAGCAAATCTATAATCATACTTTAATTTCTTGTTAAGGGACTCGATAAAATTTCGATTACAGTCTCTACTGCTAGAGCAACTACCACCTGTTCCCTAATAACCCGTCTTTAATACGTTTTTATGCCATTTCAATTAATGAACAAACCTATCAATTTTAACTCCATTACAGCGGTTTTCGACCTTTTCATTAAAGGGAATATCGTTATCATTTTAAAATAGACCGCAATATAAGAATTTATCGAGCCTTGTTTTCGTCACGTTACGGTGTAAATATATTTTTAATGTTATTTCGCTTACGTTATACTTACACACAATGATACATACGAGGCGTCACGTATTTACGCCAAATCCTTTACGTACGGTACAAGGTGGCATTAAAATGCGACTACGATGGAGATAAGTAATAGTTATTTATGATATTAGTGCGGTAAGTTGGTTATTAATTACAAACGAGTAGACGAATGTAAGCCCGAGACGAAGTCGAGGGTGTACCATAGGCACGAGATTGTAAATTTGGTATTTACAAACTCGTGCCTATGGTACACCGCACGAATTTTATATAACAACAACAACAACGTTTTTCAACACATTTGCGAGCAAACAAAAAATAATCTGGTGTCTTCGGGGTCGGAGGTTGGTCATATCCCGATAAGGGTTGTGATTCTGATGTACGCAGCTTGTCTATCTGTCAGCAACAAAATAGCAACAAATTACACCGTTTGTCTCGTGCTGCTAGCTGCTTTAGTTCACGAGATACGAAAAATCCGAGGTATCTAAGAATAAGGGTAGTTAGCCCTCCATGAAGGGCTGATATTTTTTCATAACTAACCAGCTTATCTTACAGCAACAAAATATGCCGTTCATCTGATATCTCTAACTGCTTTTGCCTCCAAGATATCGCTGTTGTTTCGCTGGCGTAATCGCTAGCGTATAGCGAAATAGGCATTTTTCTGAGAAATATTGGAGCAACAAATCAATTCTTGCGGCACAAAATAGCAACAAAATACTATATACATTAGGATATATAGTCATACTTCGGGGGTAACAAAGAACCTAATTATTTGGTCAAATCTAAAGAATAAGAAAATACTATATAATAAATAACTACTAAATAGAGCATGCGCTCCATCTTGCTAGCGAGCCCGTGGGGTGCTGAGTGTGGGAAGCGGGGTGACATTTTTCTCCTGATGATGACATTATTAGACACGAAGACGTAGCGGCCCAATTGGAATTTCTTGGACTGATGATAAGGTTTTAAAGCCGGGGTAAAATCTGTTTTCCTATTAGGTTACAAGGGAAGCAGTATTGGAAAGGTTAGGAAAACTGCGCTAGGGTAATATACCTGATACCTAATCACGGCGCGCTATGTATGGGAGCGTCTTAGGCACCCGTAATTTTGAACTTTCGAACTATGTATAACCTCCATAAATGCATTTTTTGAGCAAATGTGTTGGAAAACACATTACAATTGACATGATAAGGGTTACCAACTTTTTCTCTATTTAATATATATAGTATTTTCGAAGATATATCTAAAACTATACTAGCTGGCAAAAAATAGTATGTGGTTTAAAAATTTACTTTATTTTTATACGAGTATTTGTTGCTTTTGTCACGAAAATGAAATATATAATAAATGAAAAAGCAGTGCTGTTACATTGACTAAGTTCTTGCTACTGTGTATTAAAAGTATCTTTTTAAAAGCATATCTTACTAGCAAAATATTTAAACTCAGTAAAGTGAACGGTATTTTCCCGTAGTAATGTTTCTATCGAAAAAACTTTGATGCAAATAACATTGTAAAATAAGAATATGAATAAAAGATTATTAACTTCTTGAATTTATGAAAAAATATATTTTATTTTCTTCAATATTACACTTACCTAACTGGTCAGGAAGGATGACAGATTCATCATATCAGATCCATCTGCATCAGTATAATAAAACGTAAATTAATTCACCTATCTTTCGTCCCTCTCACAATCAACCATCGTGTCCAAAGAAATACACCCTAAATAAATTGTAATTATACGCAATATTTGTATAAAAACCGGCCAAGTGCGAGTTGGACTTGAGCACCAAGGGTTCCGTAAAAACCTGAATTTTCAAAAATATTTTTTAATATATGATGTGACTAAAAATTTGCGGTTTTCGCAATTTTTCCTTTATCTGTACTATAAGAAGTTACTTCGTACCAAATTTCAAGATTCCAAGTTCACGGGAAGAAGGTTTTGATTCCCGTGCGAGTTTCTAAAATTTTCGGAAATTTGCGGCATAAACGGCTGCATCTTTTGATTGCTTTGGCTTAGAAGTTTGATTTTTTCACAGCTCTAATGCACAGTAGACCTGAGTATTAGATATGAATTTCAGTTTGATACCTTGACGCGTTCCTGAGAAAAACGGTCTTGACAGACGGACGGACAACAAAGTGATCCTATAAGGGGTTCCGTTTTTTTCCTTTTGAGGTACGGAACCCTAAAAACACACAAAAAGATCGATCACGCCTAAATAACTACAGCTAAGAAGATTAATAATAAATGTGCAGCATGTGTTGCTGCCAGTACCTACTTGTGGTGGAGTTCACAACTCGTTAGAGAGTTTCCAAGAATATCGCCGAATCGAGAGGTGGTTGCAATTAGGCTTCATGATTGTTATTGCTTAGCTGCATTAACAAAATAACTAACTAGATACCGATACTTTAAAGAAAAGATGTTTTGAAAATCATTGATCTATCCGCGTTATTAGTACAATAACAGAAATAGAGTCGAATTTATTTTAAGCTACCTGTTATTTGGTTCATAATTCATTTTATCTCTGTGCGACGAAGCAACATTCACATTTTAACAACAGCAGATTTCCACCTTTCTAATCTCGTTAAAGATTAGAATCGCACACATTGTCACGCTCTAATCTCTTCGTAGTCGTGATGAGAAGAACTTCAGATAAACAAGGAAATAATTCAGAGCACTCACGGTCTTAACAATAGTTTTTTGAAACTGCTTACATCAGAGTACAATTCAACTGATTTTCTTTTATCCTACACAAGGACACAAACTAATAGTATTGGAAAGCTTTATACTTTGTATTTTCTTTGCTATCAAATCAGAGAACACAATCGATGTCTTCACAATAAAATTGGCTTTTGAAATTGCGTCCCGCACTCGTACACCTGAAGAGAATTTAATTCGAGTTGAAAGTTAAGTCGTCGTAGAAAGGGTCCTTAATAAGTAATCTGACCCATTACCTAAAATACTACTCCTCTGATCAACTACCATCAATACGATTTAGGCCCTATCAATTGACGGGTGATTCTCTAGCGTACCTACGTGCCACACAACTGGGGTGAGGCTATTAACCAGCGTGGCGAGCCTTTGGCTATCAGTTTTGACATCACAAAAGCTTTTCATTGGGTCTGGTACAAATAAAAGTTTTCTGCTTTTTCTGCCTGCTCATTTCTGTGCCTGGCTGGCTGACTGATCATGTAGTTCGCAGTTCATGTCAGTGAATGCCGGTGTTCCTCAGCACTCTGTACTTTCCCCCACACTGTTACTGCTGCATATCAATGATTTCATTTCTCTTGGAAATATTTATTGTTATGCAGACGATAGTACAGTGCATGCTAGATATTTCGGACCCGCAGCGGCTGGACAGGTAGAAACACCGGAGAAACGAGAGAATCTTGTCATTGAACTCATTCAGGCGTTGGATCACATTTATGTATGGGGTACCTTCCAGGAACTTGGTTGAGTTTAATGAAAACAAAAACAAGGTTTGCACTGTCACGGAAAAAAAGGAATACACCGAAACCGAGATCAAAACAGCTTCACGAAAACTCTCGGTCTTAGGTCAAGGTGCGGGTTTTCATGCCTGATCAATCGTGCTTGTTGTAAAAAAAGACCCAAGTCCGTTCGTGCGTAGAATATCGTTCGCACCTCTGGAATGGCTCAGCTCAGACAGCGGCGCGCAATCGTCATTATTTGGCGATGTGGAGGTGCCTAAGAAACACCTCGAGCCTCTTCAGTTACGCCGTGATGTGGTGTCATTAAGCGCGTATTATCGTCTATACCATGTATACCATGGCGAGTGTTCTGGGGAGTTATTCTCTCTCTTATCCCTCCCCTTTCCTTCAGAGGACCACGTTCGCTGGTCTGTGTTTACACCGACACTGGTTACTATTCTAATTTCCAACCCGAACAAAGAAATTTGGTGGCTCATTTCTTTGTCGCACTATCCGCAAATGGAATGCTTTGCTCGCTCACGTATTCCCTTTGCCCTACAACCTTTAAAAGAGGCGTAAAGAAGGCCAGCAAGGTGAACAAAGGCTGGTGTGTAGCAGGTAACACTGTTTTACCAGCTATCTTCGCGTCTAGACTCCACCGTTACTTAACATCAGGTGGGTGGAGTCATTTGTCGGACCTATTTATAAAAAAAATATTATACAGAGCTGTGACGAATTTAAGTTGCCACGTCAAAACCGCTTTCAACATCTTTCGTTATAACAATGCAAGAAGACAATCTATGATTGATGATGTTTTCGTTACACAATACCTTTTCTTGAAAGACAACACTGAATAATAATAAATATGCTAAACAGATTTTCTACTGGATTATTCATCTATCTTAGTTTTTCATAGATATTTCCTTACACCGTAAATTATCTGCTGAATATTTTGTCTATAAGTAAAAAAAAAATAACCTATTGTATTTTATTTAAATTTGAAAAAGGAAATTTCTTTAATGGCCTTTATTTTCTTTTAAAACAATTGTTTTTTTTTTAAACAAAAACCTAGTAGGAACTTTAACTTAAATATTAAGGAACTATAAAAATACCGTTCAACGAAAAATAGCGCGGTAATTGCTGTTTATGCGATGTAGTATTTAACAAATAATATTCCTGAACCAAAATTACGATTGGATTGACATCTCGTTCATCAAAATTACAGTCCATTACTTAAACACTACGGTGCAACCATGCAACATACAAACACATACTAAAATCGTAATCCGTCTTCATTTGGGTAATCATTCATATGCTGATAAAATCATAATCCCTCATCATTGAGGTATTAATAACGTTTATAGTGAGTATACCAACCTGGACAGAAACATTTATTTGAATTAAAATAGCACCTAAGTTATGTTTGTATTCCATTCATTTATCTTCATATATACTTTTTTGTTGTTTACCATCTGGACTCATTTAAAAGTAAATACATAATATGCATGGTTTGAATATATTACTTTCGGTGGCGTCTTCGTTCTCGGTTCGTCATGACTTAGGTTCGTGGCAGCATGAGGCTGTACTGTATATGAAGCTTCCCATGTTGACAGATATAATGAAACTCTTAATATAAAAGCGTTAATTTATAATGGTACAACATGGAAACGTTGAAAATATTGTCAATATTGATCGAAGTATTTATAGTTAGAGACGTAGTTCTAAGGAAACTCGTATTCAATTTGTAAAATATTCAAATGCG